TACGTACGTACGTAACGTAGTACGTACGTAAGTACGTAGAACGTAGTACGTAGTAGACGAGAGAGAGAGAGAGAGAGAGAGAGAGAGAGAGAGAGAGAGAGAGAGGAGGGGAGAACTCACAAAACCAAAACCAGCAGTTGGGTAAGTCGGTCCAACCATTGTGTATTGCTCGCAATAGCGAGAGAGGAAAAGCTTAATGTAGGGTATCTCATCCACTATTCCACCAACTCCTCCATTCTTACTTCCCTTTGAAAGGGCATCTGCATATTCTTGAGGAGAATTGTAACGCCTGAGCTTTACATCTTTAGAGGTCATGTGCATCAAAAGTTCAGGCACAAATGACCCAAACTGAAACCCAATGTATTCCCCTCTTTCTATTAATGTGTTAAGGTCAGTTACAGTAGGCTTCAATCGTTGAACTGTGAGTAAAGAAGTTAAGCTGGCTGTGTAACTTGATGTAAGTATCAGCACCACAAACAACCATATGATAACCACAAGCCGGCCCAAGTTGCTCACCACTTTTTCCTCTGCAGATGAAAGAAGATATGAATGAGGATGATGCAAACAATAATGGGAAAAGTTTATACGAAATATTAATCTTATAATAAAATAGTAAAGCGTCCCCTGAAAAAAGTTGTTTTTGATGCTAGAAGAAAGCCTTCTTGTTGATCATCTAGGTCTTGAGATGTATGAATATATAAAAACAAGGATTTTTAAGACCTACAAATAATACATTTTGTAACATATTGCTAGATTGTCCATTTTCAAGATTTTTAAATGCTTATAATTTGACTACATCTGAACTATTTTTTTGAATTTTAAATTTCATAATTAAGGAAAAAAATAGATTTTTAAATTTCATAATTAGGGGTAGAAATAGATTTTCAGGCTATTGTAGAGATTTCCAGCACTGAAACTACATCTTTTGGCAGGTACACTTTGTTTGTTCAATGTTGACGTTTTATGTAACCATACAACAAAAACAATAACCATGACTGTTGCAAAATAGAAAACAAAAGATGGAAGAGTATATATTTTGAGTTTTTGTCTATAATTTATAGGTTCTTTCTAAACCACATTAGTGCGAAAAAGGAAGCATAACCACTATCAAAGAGAAAAATGATTTGGTCTAGTTTTTTGGAAATCGACCAAGTTTTCGTTAATTTGAAATTCGAGGTTTAGCTGAATTATCTTATATAACCACATCTGTGATCCAATCTTGCATTCTGAACTCTATCAGAACTTACTGTGAGAAAAGACCATAGTTGAGAAGGCAAACCAGAAGACTACTCCAACTTGATGCCACAAAGGCCCTCTAAAATCTCTGTTTTCAGGATGCTCTAAGACCCACACCACGAATCCGGTTAAGACGAAGAATATTGCACTTGTCATCCACATCTCCCATGTCAATGGCTTCAGGAACACCCATGCATTCTTGCTTTCCTCTGGCATCTTTGGAACCACCAGTACTACACCCGAGTCTGTGTATGGTAACGTAAAGTCGACGTATTTTGATCGATTCGCTATAATCGTGGTGTCGCCCATGACTGCATCGTACTTCTGATCCTCCTCGATAACAATTTGTGTTAGTAAAATCACAAAGAACACAAACCTTCTTGGATTAATAAATTCACAGAAACCTCAAGGCATGAAAAGCCCTACATTACAAGATTTTAATGTCCTCCACCTTATTCATTATCATAAAGAACTAAAATTAAAACCTATTACAATGTGTATAAACAAAAATTAAAATTGTATTTACTGTATAGAAGGTATAATGTGTTAAAACACAAATTGAAACTGTTATTTAGTAATAATAGGAGTAGAAGTTAGATAGTAGTTAAGACTGATTGCCAAGAAGTACTTAAAAAAGATTATTTTTACTATGTAAAATTGATATTCTATGAGAAAAAATATAATTCGAAAGAAATAAATACATTTGAGGGAATTTAGGGGTAGCTCCAATAGGTAATAAGAAGAGATAAAGAAGATTTAGGTGGGCAGGCCTTGTGCAGTATCAACCTAAAACAACACCAGTTAGGAGAGATGACTTGGTTTAAGTGGAAAACTCTAAAAAGGTAAAAAAAAGCCCAAAGGAACATGGATGCAAGTAGTGATAAGAGATACTCTTATTTATGGTTACACTAAAGGTACAGCCCTTGATAGAGCGAAACCAAACTCTTACAGCTGACCCAAATAGTTGAGATGAGGGTCAATGATGATGACGACGATTTATTGTATTGATTGTTTTCTATACTCACTGCTTACTTGTATATAATATGACAATTACAGGTTATTAGTATTGTAAGGACTGAGATTCATTAAGAAAAAAAACTATTGTAAGGTATGGTGCACAGCTCAACCATCCACTGGCCTTTTTTAAGTATAAGGCAAACATTAATGTTACTAGTTATTACGAACATGCGGTCCAGCATGGTTAATCTTCACTATTGATTACCATATATAGATGGGAGATATCTCTACTGCATACACCATATATCATACATAATTCTCTATTGTATAGGTTCCTATAATTACAAGAATACGTTTTTAGTAACCCAGATCAACCTATCGAACTGATCACCAGCCGAACAGATCAGTGAAAAGGATCGAACCAACAGGTTCTTTGGCAAAACTTTCCACCAAATTGAAAAAATGAAAGAAAAAGCGTGGGCCTTGGGTGGGGAGTCCAGGGGATCTCTAGTCCAGGACCAATGACTCACTGGTTTTAGGGGTGGCAATGGACTGGACTTAACCCGAGAACCGAGGTATAGAACCGATCTGGGTCCAAAAATTGGACCTTACGGGTTGGGTTTGGGTCCGTTGAATTCGGGACGAGTCGGATTCGGGTCCAGCGCAGCCCAGATCCGCCCGGACCTGTTGCCATGCCATCCCTAACTGGTTTCAAACCAGCTTACCAGTTCAAAAGCACCAAGAAGATTTATAGAAGCTCTACTATATTACTTTCAAACATTACGCTAGCCGCTCCTCCACCGTTCAATTTCAACAACGGATGCTTGTGGAGCTTCCTACATAGTGTTGAAAAGTAACGTGATAGTGTAGTTATAATATACCAAACAAGCCAATATAAGCAAAGAATATACCTCGTTATAGACTTGATAGAGTAACTCATCGTAGGTGAAGTTCTCACCGTTAGGCTCTCCGAAAGGAACAAATTCATATGGTAACGCATAGGGCAAGGCATCAAGAACGGCCGTGAAAACGTCCTTTGAAAACCCCATTACCGTTACTCTGTTGTCTAAGGGATTCCGTTCCACCTTCACAAACTCCGTAAAGCCTGGCTTGACGGGAACCCCAATCCTCAATTTCTTCCCGTTTGTGGGGACCACCCAACCCTTCGGCACCACCGTCGATTCTCCCGGCCAGATCAACGGCCGCAAATCGTCAGCGTGGATGCTGTAACGTTCCGCCATGTGGACGGTCAGATTTTTTGAGAGGCCGTGATCGGGCGACCAATAACCGATGACTTCCGCATCCAATTTACCGCTGAGTTTTTCGGCAACATTGACTATTTGAAATGTTGAGGCTTGGAGCTCGCCGTTAATTAATCGGAAATCACCACTTAATCCCGAGAATTTAGTCCTTAATATCGCATTCAAGAGCTCCAAGCCCGCCGGAAATGCTCTCGGGGCTGACAATTTATTCTCCGATAAATTCCCGAGAGTTTCAACAGACTGCGCCAACGCCCAAGCCGCATCATAAGCCCTCAATCCGAAAATATTAACCTCCGGTATTTTATTGTGGGCCTCATTTTTGAACTCCATTTTATATCTTGGTTTCCATCTCGCCGATAAATCGGCTAAGCCCTTCGATTCCGGCACGTACGGTTTTACCCCGATTACCCCTCGCATTGTTGCTAATACCAAAGGGTTCAAGGAGCTCAATAAACTCGCGAGCCCATCCGTTATAATCCAGGCGTAGCCTTTGCTCATCATGCCGATTTTTTGGGCCTTCCGAAATAATCGGGAAGCTACTGGTGACGTAATGTGGACTATGAAAACTCTGGTTTGCATCGTCATGAGTCTATATAACTCCTCTCCTATGTACTCATCACTGGAAGAAGAGGAGATTATGGCCCTGTCTTGAAGGCGAGAGCCTCTTTCTTGGAGAGCATCGGTTAAGTAGGGTATAAACCCTGCTCCATACTCCGTATCTTCGTATATGGCCACGGCTTGTCGCCAATTGTAGGCTAGAGAGAGAGAGGCGATGGCTTTCGCTTGGGTGGAGTCACTGAGGGTGGCTCTAATGAAGTAGGGAGTGTGGATTGAGGAGAGAGAAGGGGAGGTTGCAGAAGGTGAGAGAATGGGGATTTGAGAATTTTTGCCGAGGTCGGAGAGGAACTCGGCTTCCGCCGATGTCTGGGGTCCGAGGATCGCTTTCACGCCCGTGTTGTTCACCAGGTCCATGGCTGTGAAAACAATATATTGCGTTAATAATAAAGAATCAATTTTAAACTGGACATCGAAGAAGCATCTATTCAGTCAAACATTGATTTTGATCTATTTTCTATAAACCAAATGCTCTATAAACCAAAGGCCAAACTACTGGACTGGGAGTCATGCGGGAGGGGAAAGATTGTACTACCCGGAACTCCTTCAATGACTTCTAGAGAGAGAGAGAGAGATTGTACCTGCCAAGGCAGCTTCGACGACGTCTAGTTTAGAGTCCCTCCAATGGAGGATGAGTCTGGTGGTGTGATTGGGGTGGACGGTGTAGAAGTCTTGCAGGGCCATTTCTATCCCTATTCTCATCGATTTCCCCACCATCGACCTCAAACCAATCACCACCCCAACATTAACTTCTTCTGCTCTCTTCTTTGCTTGAGCTTCCGCTCTGTGAAATTGCAGCAAGTGCAATAAGAGGAGAAGAAGAAGCGCAACTTCTGAGCTCTTCATTTTGAAATGAATTCTCATCTCAATGCCTACAAACTTTAGACCCACCTTTTAAATATGATGAGTAGAGCTAAGGAAGATGAAGCTGCCTTCTCTCTCTGAGCTAAGGCAGATGACTCCTCCTCCCTCCCCCTCTTTCCACCTCTTTCAGCTAAAGAGATGAACTTCTCTCTCTCCAATGAACAAGCAATTTTAGAACTCTCTCACAACAATAAAGAGCTCTCTCTCTCAATGAACAACCCAACAACTTTAAAATTCTCTTCCCCTCTCTAATGAACAAGCAAGCAATTTAAAAAAAGCTCTCTCTCGCATGACCAAGCAATTTAGAATCTCTATCTTCTCTCTCTCCTCTCCTCTCCTCTCTCTCTCTCTCTCTCTCCTCGCTTAGATAACAAGCAATAAGAAAAATTTGAATTCACTCTCCTCTCAAATTCTTGCCAACAGCTATCAAACTCGTTAGATGTTTATTCTTTACAGCGAACAAGAAACTTCATATTCTTATCCCTTTGATGAAGACCTTAAATTGTTGACTTCATATCTTGCTCAAAGATTTTAATAACAATTGACTTTGACTTTTAAGTCCCTAACTGGAAAGTACAAAAACCTAAGGTGCTAAAAACACCACGACAAAAAAACCCAACCAAAGAAAAGAAAAGAAAAAAACAAGAGCCAATTATAAAAATAAACATATTTAATATTTTTCACATACTTTCGACTTAATTTCAAAATACGCGTTAAAAAGCGGATGACAATGAGTCAGAATAGAGAATATGGTAAACCATTAACTTGTTGAAAAATGTGGTGTATTTTGACAAATTCTCATAAAAAAAATTAAGTGTTATAAATAACAAGAAAAATAGAGGGACCCAACTATAGAAAGACAATAAATCAAGGTGTAGAGTCTACGGTCACTTGCCATGCTCCCAAGAAATCAACGATAGGGACCACGAGAAAAATTGTCTTTAACTAATAATATGAACTCGTTGAGAAAGTTCACTTTAGATTTAGAAATCGGAAAGGTTCATGTGCTTTCCCTACCCCATGGAAGTCTATTGTTTTTTATCAAGAGAGCCACTCACCGTTTGACCTTATATCCGACATCTTAAAAGTATTTTTTTTTTAGTTTTTTTTTATATAAATTTTATGAATGTGAAATTTAGTACGTGTCATCTTCTCATTGGGGCGCACTTATAAAAAATATTAAAAATATTTTTTCGATAACATATAATGACCAAAATACCTCTTGAATTTTCAAGTATATTTTGGTCATTTTATTTTATTAAAAATATTTGGTGTCAAAAAAATTTATAAAAAAAAAATTAAAAATAAAATAGTGTAGAGACGTGACATTGTGATCGGTGCAATCTTAGCCCTCCATTTAGAATGGACGGTTAGATATGGGGGAGGATAGAACTTCTATGCTGTAGAGTAAGCATAGAAAGCTTGCCCTTTAAAAATGCTAATGCAGAAGCATACTTGCCCATTTACTCCCTCGAGAAAAACTCAATTGGCGAACATCTTTAGGACCCAAAATTTTCCAATGTGACTTTTCATTTCTTCAGTTCATAGACTAACTCCAATTTAACAAATTTGCAATTTTCACTCTTTACAGGTTTGAAAAAGGTAATGTGTCAAGATTGAACAGAGACCATCCAATTTTTGAAGGGTGAGGCTTAGACAACTAAAAATTCTCTGAAAGAAAATAACATTTTAGTGATTCTAAAGTGGTTTCAAAATTTTGGATTGAAAAATATCCTCCCAAATAAATCTTCTGCCTAAGGGAGTAAAGGAACAATATGCTTCTAAGGAAGCAAAATACACCCACTTGATTTATAAAGTCTTACGTGCTCAGACTGATTTAGAATGAATTTCACATCTTAATGAACGAAGTCAAAGTCTGGTGTCTTTTGCAGGCCTATCACCACACAATTTAGGGAAAACATATCGAAATTTCAAATAATAATACCGACTTTGGGATTCTGGGGACAAATTTCAAGGGTTTGAACCCTTGAACTCCCTCACCGAAACTCATACGTCCCCGAATAAGCCGAGGCCCAAGTGACCTGCTTGGGTTTCGTATCTTTTTATTTTATTTTATTTTATTTTTATTTTTATTTACTTACAAATTTCAAAGGTTCGATTTTGACTTCCCTCAGCAATTAAGGGCCAGCCTAAGCCTGAGCGGCTCTGTGATTTTATTTTATTTTTGGAATTATGGGGAAAATTTTTTTAGACTAATGTCCAAAAATACAGCAGTAGTTAAACGACTCGAGAGAACAAAACAGAGCATGATGGCTTTGGTGCCCTTATTACACTCAAAAGATTAAAACAAAATAAAGGACATTTAGAAGGATCAAAAGGAAGGAACAGAAGCTTGGTAAGGCTTGCAATAGGTCAGCCAGCCCTTGGCCCCGGCCCGTCTAGGTCTCGATAGGGCCGGCCTGGGCCAAGGCCAAAGGAGCCACGACCCAGGCCTTAACCCGGTCCAGTCTAGGCCTGGTTTAGGTCTGGCCTAATAAAAAAAAAAAATTTGAAAAAGAAATAAAAGAAACTGCATGGCAGGGCTGGGCTGGGCTCGGCTGGCCCTATCATAGACCTGGCATCCTCGGGACAAATTATTTTTTGGCCCAAGCCTTACTTTTTCAAGGCCTGGCCACCCGGCCCATTGCCGGCCGTAGAGACTGATTTACGTTTGGGCTGAGAGGGTCCAGTCAATATATTAGGTAAGGTATGAGAGAGAAATTATGGGGTTCCTAGGCATTATGGAAGGTTCGACACTGGTTCCACCTTTCCATTCTCTTGAATTTTTACATTAATTTCTAATGGGTGAGGACGCCTTTGTTGAGAGAAAGTCGGTTTTTCCCAGCAAAGGAGAAAATGAAGAAACGGATTTTTAAGTTTAAAAAACTTAGAGCAATGACAAATAGCAATGGAAAAGTAAAATACGAAATAAAAAATGAAAAAAAAGGTTTGAGGGGTGGTTTGGATCGATTCCGGATACTAGCCAACAATGTTAAACAAGGTGGAGGCGGGCGCTGCATTCTTGGGCGGCCCCAACGAAAGGGTTGGGGTGTGGGCCATATGTTGTTTTATGTGTATGTGTGTGTTTTGTAAATGTGTGTATGTGTTTTGTTAATGTGTGTGCATGCGCACGTATGTGTGTGTGAGGTCTCGGATGAAATTTTTAAAGATCATTCTACGTTTTTTTTTTTTCTTTTAGATATGTATTTGTAAGAGAGATCTCAAACACTTGAAGGATATGGAAAGAGAGAGAGAGAGAGAGTCTACGAGAGAGAGGGACCTCGCATCGAATACTTGGATGTCATATTCTTCTTTTTACATAAAGAGGGAGCATATTGGTCCATGTGTATGTTTGTGTGTGTATGAGAGGCCATGCATCGAACACTTGGAGTCCATCTTCTTCTTCTCATATATAGAGAGAGCGCATGGACCCGAGATATAGACAGAGAAGGGCAATATCAAGACTTATTTTTGTTTGCGTGGATTTGAAATTTTTTTTTTTAAGGGATAGCACTAGGTGGGTGCCCAAACAGCCTAGGCGCTTGTCAGAGGCAAGCCGGCCCAGACCCCACCACCTAGGCTACCCCTAGACGGTTTGTCAGCCAAGCCGTCTAGGCGGCCGGGCTGCCGACTTTTTCTTCACTGCTAGCGAGGAACCAGATTTCCAACCACCATTTGCCAATTTTGATCAATGATTCGCTATCCAAATCAATGGTTAAAACTATTGCTCGAGGTATTGTTGAGACTTAGAGATACAGCTTTTGTGTCCCAAATCTATAAATGTATTTACCCAAAAAATAATCTGTAAATGTAAGGTCATCGGTACAGTGGATTTTGGTTTCCCGTAACCCTTTTAGGTTGAACTAAATTATTGTTGTGTTCTTGTAATATGTGTGCTTGTATGATTTATTTCTGATGTTAGTTTGGGTTTTCTCTTGTTTATTTTCCTTTCTGTCTGGTTAAGTAAACAATCACAGGCCGATCCTGATCTTTAGCTATGTTTACACATCTAAAATGATCCCTAAATCATAACACTCAAAAGATTCTCGAAGCATCTGAGAAGTTAGGTCCTCATGCCAAAAGTCATGCTGGCTTTCCATGAACATTCAATTTTCCCTAATGTTATTTCCAATAGTATACATAGGCACTGATTTAAATGTACAATGATTCCTCCTAAATAAAAACTTAAAAAAGTTCTATGATCATTAGCAACATGTGAAATTCGATCACTCCAAAATTTTGCTGTGTGGGATCTCCCTTCAATTAATTTGGAATTTTGTTTTCCATATGGTTCCTAACTTCACCTTGTACAACAGTTAGGGTATCACTCTCCACTTTGTTCTCTACCTCTCCATCTCTTTGCTCCCTTCTCTTGAATGTAGGCTCATTGGAGTGCTGCAAATTGAAATGAGCCTTCGCTAGAAACCCTTCCCAGAAGAGGCTATTTCTCTGTCTCTTCAAATGCTTATTGAGAAACCTAACGAAGACTGTTAAAAGGGCCATTGCAGAAGCTAAACCTGTGATGAGAAATAGGCCCTTGAAGTTATTAATAGATAGGCCATTCGAACTCTTTGAGTCCCATTCTTCTCGCATGATGCGACACGAGGTTTCATTATGGAGCCACAATTTATTCAGTGTCAGCATTTTATTCCCTTCCACTACTTCAAGTATTGCCTTGGATACATCAGAGACCAAAGGGGAGCCTTTGGGAAACACCTGTAAACAATAGTATCGAAGGCTTAGATTTAAAAATTTAAGATAAATTGATCAAAATTCACCTAAGAAATAAGCTGTTTGATATTTTACTCATTTCTTTTGATACAATTTCTAACAGCCCATCAAAATACACATAATCATGAGTTAGAATAGTTGAAAATGGGTAGAATGCTAAATATTTGATAAGTTAGGGCTAAATCTCTCAAAATTTAAAAGACTCTTAATTTATGTTGAGAGAGAGAGAGAGGAGAGAGGGCTCACAAAGCCAAAACCGGCGGTCCGGTAAGTAGGTCCGACCATGGTGAATCTATCGCAATAATTGGAGAGGAAAAGCTTGATATAAGGGACCTCCTCAAAATAGGCAGAGATCCCTCCATTTTGGCTTCCTTTGGACAAGGCCTCTGCATACTCGTCGAAATTGTCGTAAGTCTTAAGTTTTGATTCATTCACATGTAACCGTTTTAAAAGCTCTCTTATGAAGGATCTCGGCTGGCATCCAATGTAGTCTCCATTTTTTATCAGGGTATCAATGTTTGTCACAGTTGGTTGTAGTTGTTGAACAGTAAGCATGGAGGTTAAGCTTGCTGTGTAACTTGAGTTGAGAATCAGTACCACAAAAAGCCATATGGTAACAACAAATCGTCCCAAATTACTGGCCACTGTTTCCTCTAGAACACATAAACGAGTCATGAGGGTTAGTGTATGCGACTGCCACAACAAATAAAAATATGAAAAATAGACATTTTTAATGAGGGAAAATATACAAATAGACCAGTTATTTTTAATATAAAGAGATCACAATTGCTACCATATAAATATGGAGCACACAATAATTATTGCATATCATGATAAGAAATCAATGAGGCAAAATACGATAGACAAGACAAAGATTATTCTATAGATGGAAATGGTGCACACATTAGTTATAGCACCGATTTGAAGCATCACATATGATTATTTAAAAAATAACATAAATTTGGATTTTGAGTTCTTTAATTTCAGGATTCTATTTTTACCAGGCACATATAAAGAGGGGGTTTTTGGTTTTTATTCTTTATTAGTATTAAATTGACAGTATATGCCCCACCTGGCGCACAAAATCACCAAAGCTGGTACCCAGCTTACCGAATCTTGGTGGTGTCAAGACTCGGACCAGGGTTAGTTCAAATCTACTTGGTTAGTCTATAATCAAGTTGATGGATAGTAAGATGCATCTTCTCTTATTTCTCTTATGAAAAGAGAAGCTCGATCAAATATGGAACTGGTGTTTTCAGCAATCGGGAGTCTTGATAGCTTCATCTTAGAATGTATTGGACATCTTAACAGAGTGGTCTTTGCCTGGCATGCCGAAGGTTGGTAGTTCGACATGGAAATTCCTTAAGAGAGCTATCTGTTAGAAGGTTTGGAAGGTGACACACTTTTGATTCTCATGCCTTTTAACTTTTGATCGAGTTTTATACAATATCAAGCACGCTTTATGGTGCTGGTTATCAGTTCATAAGGAGGGATAGGGTATTCTGATGTCTTATTTAACGTCTCAAATCTATTTCTTCTACTCTGATTTCTGATCATGTAACTTCACTGCTATAAATCGATTCTTTTAATATAGTCCATAAATATTGTCAAAAAAAAAAAAAACAAAAAGAAAAGAGGAGGTTGAACTATTTAATGTCGTGTATTGTATATGGTCTCTAGGGCGACTTTGATGGAGTCAGTTCTTTTCCTTCCATGTACCCAAAAATTCACTAAAAACGCACTGAAAGACGCATAATCAAAGACTTACTGTGAGCAAAGAACATTGTGGAGAAGGAAAACGAGAGTACAACTCCCAACTGATGTGTCTTGGTGCCTCTGAAATCTTTGTTTGATCGATGCTCCAATGCCCAAACTACGAAACCAGTAAGCACGAAAGATAGACCACTCATCACCCACAACCGCCAAGTTAAGGGCTTCAAGAACACCCAAGCATCCTTAGTCTTGTCGTCCTTCTTCACCGGAACCACCATTGCAACGCCTGAATTCAAATATGGTATCGTAAAGTCGACGTAGTTTGATCTGTTGGCCCGGATTGTTACGTCCCCCACCACTGCATCAAAATTCTGTTTGCTTTTCTCAGTTGTTATGAACCTTGAATATATAAATCTGTTGGCCCTATACATTGGTTTTTTTAGGCTCAAGGTCTGTGGCCCCAGCTGAGTTCTTAAACATTAGTTTTGCTTATGTGCATGTCATTCAGTCTCTGATAGGGATGGCAATCGGGTTGGGTCGACCTGTCGAGTCCATATTTTGGACCCAACGGGTCGTGTCCCAATCGAAATGACTTGGACCAGAACAAGGTCTGGTTGATCACTCCAATACATAATAAAAAATGTACTAAAAATATAAAATACATAGTAAATAATATATAAAATAATGTTTTATATTTTTTTAATTTCTCAACCTAGGTCTTTGTCTAAATGGCTTGGACCCGACTCAGGTTTACACCCATACAAGGATAAGGGCGGTGCCTGGTCCATTCCAACGCAAATTAAAGATAGAGCACATCAGGTTAGCATCATAAAAGGAAAACAAGAGAACGCAAGAGATAACATAGAGATAGATTATTTTGATAACGATCTAAACCATCTACTCTGTAAGCCAAGCTATAGAATTATAGATGGGTAAAAGAAAAAAAAAACATAACAAAGCCACAAAAAGCTATTTGAGTTATAAAGGCCGAGTTCGAGTAACTCGGCTTGAGTTAGGCAGATCCTAACAGGCCAAAAAGTGTTTTAAAAAAAAAAAAAAAAAATTAAAAATGAAATTATACAAATCACATTTAAATGAGGTTAAAAAAGTAACGAAAGATAGATTTGAAAAAAAACAATTTGTGATGGGGGCATTTTAAAAATAATCTAAAAATAAGAAGAAAAAATATAAAAATCAATATTCATAGCCAAATCAGATCCACGAGGGCCCGAGTTACTCGGGAAAGTCCGTTTGGGTCGTCCGAGTATTGGAACTCTCGGTCGGTCAAAGTGTCAAAGAAAGCCAGTTGTGAGAAAGCCAAATTGTCAAACAAGCAAAAATGTCATGAGGCGCAAGCCAGTTGTGAGAAAGCCAAATTGTCAAACAAGCAAAAATGTCATGAGGCGAACGCTTCAACTCGATCTACGAAAGAGACGACTTAGCATTTATTTACTTATGGCTTCAGGAATAGGGCTTGAAGAATGACATATGGGTAGACTTTGAGGGATAACCTTCCTCCATTCAAAACCCAAAAGAAATTTGATAGACTTTTGTGTGGCACTCCCTAGTCTTTCCTGAGGGCTTTCTCGAACTTGTTTGAGACCCAAATGGTGCCCTCTATTGTTCACCTTGGAAAGATACTCCTTAATTTTGAAGATTTATAGTAGAATTTTTTTATATTTTTATTTTTCAAAAACCCAACTTGAGATATTTTTAACGAAATATACACAATAAGGCTATTTATCTTTTGTTTAAGGTGGTCGCAATCACTTCTGGATGTGAGCTCGAGAGTGTGATTGACCAAGTTCAAAATTCAAAAAAAACTTTTTCAAACTTTGTGACATGTTTTAAGAGAAAAAGTAAACAATGACACCGTTTATCTATAGTATCAAGTGGATACAATTAATCTTGACCATTAGATGTGACATTAGATGATTGTATTACCAAGCTCAAACTTCAAAAGAAATTTTCTTGAACTTTGTGACACATGTAATATATTAGATTTCACATCTAAGCTATTAGATAGGTTTAAGTAATTGTGACCTCTTTATATTAAGGGTGCAATTCATATTGAGCTAAAGCTTTAAACAATCAAAATAAAGCGCACCTTCAAATAGTATCGAGAAATGTGGTTTCAATATTGGAAATCTTTGTGATAGCCTTAAAATATATTTTCATCTCTAATTGAAAAATTTAAAGGTTAAAAAATAGTGTAAATCGAGTAGATCTATGAAAACTTACAAATCTTGAAAATTGATGATCAAAAAATGCGTTACAAGATGCACTAGTTCCAAAACTTGAAATCCATTTTTTTTCTCATGTCCATGCATCTTGATGTCGAAATGATCAATTTGAGGTTTTTGGGCATCAAAAGAACCTCTTCTTATGAAATTTTTGAGGTGGACTCTAATTTCATTGTTTAGAGCCTCGATTCTATATGAGCTTTTTCCTTATATTAAAGGTAAATAGTGTCATTGTATACAATCCTTATTTTAAGCTGTTTGATTTGAGATTGGATGGCTAAGATTAGACTTGACCGTTTTACAATATAGAATTCCTATTTTTAATCACAAATCTTATAGGTTTTAGCATAGAAAGCACGTTTGGTTCACGTGGAATTGTTTTCTAGAAAATATTTTCACATGAAAAAATCCTCTCATGTGGTTAGTATGGCAATATTCTCCAATCAATTGGTCTTAGTGCATCCTTTCATACCAATTGGCAACTAATTGATGTAAAAATATTCTCACAATTAACCACATGAGAGAATTTTTTCATATGAAAATGTTTTTTGAAAAATAATTTCACGTGAACCAAACATGCAAGGTTCTTTTAGTTTTTAAAATGAAAGATTTTAATTTTTAAAAAGATCCACACGATATATTTTTAATAGGTTTTAGATTAAAATTTTAAAATATAGGTTCTCTTGTACATTGGCATTTTTGCAATAGCACTATTTGGACATAATGTTTCTAGAGGGGTAAAATTCCCACTCTGGGAAATTATGATATGTCTAGTGAAAATCATATGGATGTACTGTTAGAATTCAAATCATAATTATCAAGAACAACGGAATTGGATTGGGGGATTGATTTGAACTTGTAACCAGTGCCTTGGTGGGTTTGGTAGAAAGCAAAGGTAGAAAGCAAAACCTGAAGTTTGGCTGCTTAATGTTTGACCAATTTTTATCAACAGGACTGATTGTTTTGACTGATTCAAATAACTAAAGAATGTTGAATAATTGTTTTTAGTATATATATCAAATTTTAAAATTATTATTTTTATTTTTTAAAATCTGGTCCCAACCTTCCAACAAATAGTCAGACCAATTTTGATTGGATCAAACCCCTACTGCTTCAGTAATCGCTCCCATACACTAATCAAAATTTCATATGGTTTATGTATAAGAAATCTCAAATTACTATAGATTTTCCTAAATGAACTAGCATATCATATGCTCACCTTGAGATAAACCTGGTAAATCAGATCGTCATACGTACGGGCATTCGCTCCTTCACCCTTCTCAAAGGCAACCAACTTGTACGCGAAAGAGTATGGCAATGCATTAATCACAGCCAAAAAAACTTCTCTTGAGAACCCAGCAACCCCTGACCCGTACTTCTTCCTCGGCACCCCTATGCGCAACTTAACACCCTTAGGTGACACTACCCATCCTCTCGGCTCCACCATCGATCCCCCCGGCCAAACCACTCGCCCTAGATCTGATGATCTAGCGGAGTAGTTTTGTTTTTCATGTTTCAGTCTCCTTGATAGGCCATTTCTTGCTGTCCAAAATCCAATCTCCTTTACCCCATCCTCTACGATGTTAACAATTTGAAATGCTGAAGCTTGAAGCTCACCTTTGATGAATTGGATATGGCCGCTATAACCGGAGAATTTGGTTTTCAAGATTGATCTCAATAGTTTTGGACCTGATAGTGATTTTCTAGGGACTGTGAAATTCGGTGAATTTTGCGTGAATTTTTTGTGAGTCGGGTGGCGAAATTGGCCTGAATTCTCTATTGCTAGTGCTAGCGCCCAAGCTGCATCATAGGCCCTTAATGCAACAGTGCTAATGGTTGGAATTTCTTCAGCTTTTTCATTGGGAAACTCTTTTTTATATATTTCTTTCCACCTTGCTGATAAATTGGCTAAGGCCTTTGATTCTGTGATATACGATTTCACACCTAAAACCCCTTGCATTGAGGCTAAGGCCAAAGGATCCATACAGTTTAAAAAGCTAGCAAGCTCATCGGTTATAATCCAAGCATACTCTTTGCTCATCATGTCGAGTTGCAGGGCCTTTCGAAATAATCGAGAGGCAAATTGGGGATTCATGTGGACGACAAATACACGAGTTTGCATATGCTTTAGTTTGTAGAGCTTTTTGACGATGAATTCGTCAGAAGCCGAGATGGAAAGGATGGTTCTATCTTCAATTCGAGAACCGATTTCTTGGAAAGCGTCAGTCAAGAATGGTATAAGGCCGGTTCCATACTCCGTATCTTCATATATGGCTATGGCTTGTCTCCAGTTGTAGGCTTGGAAGAGAGAGGCAATGGGTTTGGCTTGGGTTGAGTCGTTGAGAGTGGCTCTAATGAAATAAGGGGTTCGGGTTGAGGAGATGAAAGAAGAGGTTGCAGAGAAAGAAAGAATGGGTACCTTTGTTTTGGTCCCTAGGTTTGCTAAGAACTTTGCTCCAGTTGATGTTTGTGGCCCAATTATAGCTTGCACCCCCTTGTTCTTCACCAGGTCCAGAGCTGTAAATTCAATACAAAACATTGGAGATGAGAGAGAGAGAGAGAGAGAGAGAAAGAGAGGGATCAATACAAAACATTGGAGATGAGAGAGAGAGAAAGAGAGAGATGGATTTGAGTTACTAGAGAGAGAGATTACCTTGCATCCCTGCATTGAAGACATGTAATTCCGAGTCTATCCAGTGGAGGGCGAGTCTTGTGGTAGAGTTTTCATGGTGACTGTAAAAGTCTTCAATGGCTAATTTTATGCTGGTTTGGCTTGCCTTTCCCACCATTGAGCCAAGACCCATGATAATACCTACATCAACTTGTGTAGATTGATTTGTGCTGCTATGTGCCCTTGGGAGATGAACAAGGAGCAAAAATAGAGGCACAAAATGAGATGTAACATGTGAGAAGCTCATTCTTGCACCTGCCATGCCAAACTAGAGGAGAGATACTAATTCCATAAGAGGAGAGCTAGTATATATATGGCAGGCTAGACCTGGTCCCCGTGTCACATTTGATCGCAAAGACTATAGTAGTGTTTAAAAAATGCACAGGGAGGGTATGAGTAACTGGTAAATTGGTTGGTTCAATTGTTCTAACAGGACAGGTCCCGATAGATTTAAAAAGTGTTGAAAAGATAAAAAAAATAAAAAAATCAAAAAAATATATTTAAAGTATAATTAAACAAAACACATCCAAATAAAATTGAAAAGTACAAAAAAATATATCTAAAAAACATAAAAAAAATGTAGAAATAAATATTCAGGGCCAAAATACTTTCCACTCCTAGTCAAAACAACAAAAAATATTAAGTAATATATTGCAAAATAAATTTATATATATATATATATATATATTTAAAACCCTAATCATACCACCAAAACCAATAAAAACCAAATCTGCTTGGTCTCAGTTTGACTGGCCTCTTCCGAGTTGGCGAACATTGTACTAAAGTCTATCTGAAAATTGGAGTCCTCTGTAAGCTAAGGAAGCGTTCCTAGGCACTCGTACTAACGTTCGTTTATTTGCTTTTGGTCTTGTTTGTTTTATTGGAAATGCTCGATTGTCTTAGGCCTAGGCACCCGTACTGAGGTTCATTTATTAGCTTTTGGTCTTGTTTGTTTTATTCGAAATGTTTGATTGTCCTACACTTTTCATGCAACGTATTTTTTTTTCACTTTTTCTCCAAAACAAATTTTCTATACAAATACTCTCAATGGAAAAAGTTCATTTTTGTTAGACAGAAATGCCCTCCTCGTACACAAAGAAATGTCCTCTTTGTACACAGAAATCATTTTGGCCAAATTTCACATTGACTTTTGAACCCTAGTAGCATATTGTCATAGCGCACAACTACCGGACCGCCTTAAGACAACTATCAGATCGAAATTGAGTACTGTCGGACCACCTTTTACATAGTGCTGGAGCCTTGGTATTCAGTAACATCTACTGCCGAACCACACTTTACACAGTGCTGGAGCCCTACTGCCGGAGTGCACTTTACACAGTGTTGGATTCCTAATGCTGGACTGCTATTACACAGAGCCGGAGCCCTATTGCCGGACGGCACTTATATAGCGTCAGAGCCCTTATTTTGGTGGGATAGAGGAGAGAGGATAAGGTAGAAGTCAGAGCACTTATTTTGGTGGGATAGAGGAGAGAGGGTAAGGTAAAAGTAAGAGAGAGTAGTGTAGGTTTTTCTTTTATTTTTTATTTGGTTGGGGGTATTTGCATAGAAAATGTATTTTGTGGAAGAAAAGTGAAAAAAAAATTTAGGTTGGAAGTAAGTTGCATAAAAAGTATAGTCTGAAGGAGTTTTTTTTTTTTTTTGCATCTGGATTGAGAGGTTGCAAATTGTCGTTGTACAAAAGTTTCCTATAGGGGGTCGAACAACTAAAATAGTGCATAGGGGTATGTTCTAAAAAAATTAGAAAAATGTAGAAATAAATATTTATGGTCAAGGCACTTTTCAATCTTTCCCAAAATAATAAAAATTATTAAATAATATATTACAAAATAAATCTCTTGTTTTTGAGATTATAAATATATATATATATAATTTTATTTTAGTATTATTATTATTTTGTAAAAAGCCTAGTTGGCAGCCATTGCCTGGTCTCAGTTGACTCGCCGGTTCCGCGTTGGACCTGTCGAGTTGGCGAACATTGGACTAAAGTCCATCTCAAAATTTAGTACTCCGTAGACTAATAAGTTGATGGTGACTAAGGAAGCGTTCCTAGGCATTCGTATTAAAGTTTATTTATTAGCTTTTACTCTTGTTTGTTTATTAGAAATTCTTGTTTGACTTAGTCCTAAGCATTCGTACAAAGGTTCATTTATTAGCTTTTGCTCTTGTATGTTTTTGGTCTTATGCATCTGGATTGAGAGGTTGCAAATTGTTGCGGCACAAATGGTGGGGGTTAAACTATTGATGAAAGAAAGGGAATGGTCCACCGCGCTGATCCACATGCAAAATAATGGTGCAAAATGTAAAGTGTACTGGTTTGGTTCATGTTGTTTTTAAAAAAATGTTTTTATATGAAAAAATTCTTTCATGTGCAAAAATATTTTTATATCAATTAGTTGACAATTGGTGTAAAAGATGCATTAAGATCAATTGATATGAAAATATTTTCATATTTAACTACATGAGATAATATTTTTATATGTAAATATTTTCTAGAAAACAATTTTACACAAACAAAACGTGCATATATGTAATTTGAGCTCCCTTGGATTGGTTAACAAATTTTTGGATTGTGCGTTGTCGTTTTTATAACAAGCTCACTTTAAATAATGGAAAATTTAGGTCCGTACACAAAAAACAATTTTTTCCTAATATCTCTCAAATTATCTACAAAACATAGAACCGATTTTAATTTTTTTGGAAAATAGAGTTGTGCTCTATGTTTTAGGTCACTTCGTGGCTAGTCCATCATCACTATCAAAACTTTTTTCCTTTCGTGAGGCCATGAGTCCCTATATTTTTTTTCATTATTTCGAGGCTACTCCGATATCCGAAATATCAGACTGCCCCAAAGTTTCAATCGATTCAATGTCAAAGATGTTAGATTGGGAGATCAACATTAAGTTTTAGACCGGTCGGATTTCTCGAACATCGGACAACCCACTTTAGGGTAGTTCAATATTTCAGACATCAGACAAGCCTTGAATGATTTAAAACATATCACAAGCCTACTTTCCAAATTGTTATCTTTTTTTAGAAAAAAATAAAACTGGTCCATTGCAGTGAAGGGCGAACTGGAAAAAATAAAAAAAAGTGAGAGACAGACCTACGCATAAGATTTGGGAGATTTTTGTGTATAGGTGTAATTTTTCCTTAAACAAATAAGTTACGCCTTCATATAAGTTTTTTCGAAGATATACGTTTGGTATCATAAACTCTTGGGATAGCTTAAAAATTATGGTTTCATCCCTAGTTATGAAATTTAAAGCTCTAAAAATGGTATGGATTGAGTAGATATATACATGAAAATCTAGCAAATTGACAATCCATATGATATGCACTATTTTAATGCTCGAGATCCTTTTCCTACCCCTTCATCCATGTATATTGAGGTCGAGATGATTAATCGAAGGAATTTTCAGCATTGGGACAACAACTTATTTCATTATTACAAAGCCGCACATGTTGACTTTTTCTTTGAATGTGGGGTTTAAAATTTTAAATTTTTCATGCATTTCTATTTCATTTTGGGATTAGAAGTTTAAACATTGAATCAATTTATTTCCTTTTGAATTAAAAATCGATTCAAAGATGCTTCGAATGGAGTTTTTGTTTTTCATTGGAAAAGGGTAGTCCAGAGATCCAATTTCAAACCACCCTAATTGTAGTGCGGTTCAGAGCATGAACTAGTGAACTGCTTTGCATGCCCCACAATGAAGTGCGCTGGGCAGTTCGAGAATCCACTCCAAATTACAAAAAATAAGAAAATAAAATAAAATAAAATAAAATAAACTAAAAAATAAGACTTTAAGAGTGCATTTGAAGCACAAGATTTTTTTGGAAAGTGTAAGAGAGTCTTCCAGTAATTATAGAAGCCATATGCGTTTTTCTATAAATGGATCTAATTATAGAAGACCTTCGCGTTCTTCTAGAAATAAATCCATTTTGATGCTAAAACAGTGGTGCGTGAAAAGTCGCATTATTCCTTTGCGACTTCCACGCAGTAATATCAAATGTTAGAGTTTTGAACCGCTCAATTAGGGAGGTTCAAAATTGCCCTATATGGACCATCCTTCTCAACAAAAAATAGTTGTCATTTGAAGGTTGCATCTGATTTCCATATAGTTGGAGAAAAGTACTAGCATAAAATTCATGATTACGTGCATTTTGATGGCCTCTTAAAAATTGCATAAAAAATAAATGAGTAAAATGTTAAATAGCTCAGGTGCATTTTAATAAATTTCAGTATATCTTCATGAAAATGCTTTTATTATCTATCATTTGTAATCCGTTTGTAAGTAGGTTTAAGCAATAAGATCTTCTAATGCTTGTCTAATAAAAATAAAAAGAAAGCTAGAGAGATTGGGTTTTTAAAGAGGGAATGAATTTTTAGAGAGAAAGAGAGATTGAATTTTTAAAGAGAGAGAATAGATATAGAGAGAAAAAAGATAATGGGTTTTTAGAGAGAGATTGAGTTTTTAGGGAAAGAATGGGTTTTTAAAGATAAAAAGAGAAATTGGGTTTTTAGAGAGAGAAATAAATATTGGGTTTTTAGAAAGAGAGAGTGAGTTTTAGAAAGAGAGATTGGATTTGAAGAGAGAGAGAGAGGTTTTAAATTTTTTAAAAAATATTTTAATATGTATATTAATATTATTTTTTGGCATACTACAAATAAAAAAAGAGTAAAGATTTTTTTCAAAAAAACAAAAAAAAAACTAAATGGGCCGGCTGGGCCTTATTGGGCCAATCCAAGACATTTTTGAGCTGCCGAGCCAATCATGCCCGCTGGGCAAATTTTCTGAGCCTTTTCTAGGCTGGCCCGTTAAAGGTCTGTTAACAGCATTGTCTGCAGTGGCCTGCCTGTTAGAGGCCCATAGCCCTTTAGCAGCCCGTTGGCTGACTTTTTAGCTGCTCGAAACCAAGCCCTACCTGGAAGCCTAAGGCACGGCCCTGTCCATTGGTAGCCCTACTCTTACGCCCACCCTTTGTAATTGGCGAAGTCGAGCAGTTCAAAAGTCTGGTTATTATTTAAAAAAAATAGCATTAAGCGTTTCTAAGGTTGGAGTTTTGAACTGCCCCAAACCGAACCCTACCCAGAAGCCCAAGCCCCGGCGCTGTCCAAGTTTTGCGTTAGATTATAATAAGGGTGTAGTTTGTATAGAGCCTAGGCTCTAAACAATCAATTTAGAGCCTGCCTTTGAAATAGTATCGAGAAATGTGATTTCAAATGGAAATCTTTGTGATAGTCCTAAAATATAGTTTTCATCTTTATTTATAAAGTTTAAAGCTTAAAAAATAGTGTAGATCGATAGATCTATGAAAACTTGAAACTTGACGGTCCAAAAATTGTTACAAAATACAATATTTTCAAAACTTGAAATCTATTTTTCTTTTCTCATGTCCATGCATCTTGATATCGAGATGGTCAATTTGAGGATATTTAGGCATCAAAACAGCCTCTTCTAGTGAAAATTTCAATGTAGGCTCTCATTTGATTGTTTAGAGCCTCAGCTCTATTTAAACTTTTCCCTTATAAAAATAGTATTGAGATTAAACTACGAGTTAGGGAAAATATTTTAATCTTTAATCCATTATACAAATTTACATTGTAATATAATAATTGAAGCACAACTGTCATTTTGCTATAAGGGCATATTTGGTGTGCATGAAAATACTTTTGTGAAAGTATTTACACATAAAAAGACTCCCCATGTTATTCGGTATGGGAGTTTTTCACACCAAATGATCACACTAATTGACAGCCAATTGCAATGAAAAAATTCTCATACCTAATCACATGGAGGATTCACTTAAACAATTTCACGTGTACTAGTGAGTATAAAAAGTCTATGGGGATAGATATCAAACTACACTTTCGATGGTTTTTTGCTCTTGCAAAGCAAGTTTTAGCAGCCCCATAGTGGAACGATTTGATCGGAAAATATGTAGATTCAGTCTAAGGATATTGTTGGGTACTAAGATTGACCCTCTAATCGGTTGAGATGAGTTATCTTCATTTAATGCTTCCCATTTTATGAAGCCGAAGAGTTAGGAGGAGCAATAAGTACACTTCTTACTAGTATAGTACTCGGTTAATCTTATTTAATATCGGCAAGTTTAGCAATTGTTCTTGAAAAAACTGAAGTGCAGATAATTTTTAAACTTGGAAATATGGGAGTTTAAATCCTCACCCCAAATATCCCTTATGTTTTAACATGTAAGCTCAAGGTGTCCATGGACTCTACTGCATCAGAATTCAATAACTTACATTTATGCACAAAGCAAGGCTATAAGTGAAGGCCACCTTTTTAATTAAAATTCAATTATTTCATAATGTTACAAAGGAATCCAATGTATTACATACCATGTTAGACCATGATACATACCATGTCACATCAAATGTATATACAAAGGACTTGAAGCGAGTCATATCTCAATCGAGTGCTCGGGAGATATTGGATTGGGATTTGGATGTGGGCTTGTGTTATTTCTTTGAGTGCAACAACTATTGAGGATCCCAAGCATTAGCAGCAACAGTAAAATATCATCCTTAAAGTTGTTGTGATTTACAGACTCACCTTCTTTAACATTGGTGCTTCCTTTTGCATGGTTCCTAGCACCACCCTCTCCAGGGTTCTCTCTGTCTCTATTTCTTTGCACCCGTCTTCTCAATGCGTTTTCCTCTTCATAGAAATGCCTGCCTATGGAGATGAGCCTTTGCCATAAGCCCCTAGCAGGAGAGGTTCGCTCTTTCTTGAAAAGTTTACTGAGGAAGGTAATGAAGAAGATCAAGAGGGCCGACATCGAGGCCGTCCCTGAGATGATAAACAGGCCCTTGAAGCTATCGAAGGAGAGACCTTTGGACCTAGGTATGTCTGATAAGTCTTGGCAATTGCTGTCGTTGCCAAACCAATAACTCTTACCAAACCAAAAGGTGGTGATCCTCACCATTTGGTCTCCTTCTGTTACATTTAGTATGGCCTTTGATATGTCCGAGACCAGTGGGGAGCCTTTGGGAAAAACCTATAAAAAGAGGCACAGAAACTAAAATTTTATTCAGGAAGAGAACATATCCCAAGTGCTCAAATTTTAATACAATAAAAAATACAAACTACAGTATCACGTTATCAACTAGTTTAACTCATGACTGTATGTTATTTATAGGGATTTATCAAAATACACAACATAAAAAATACAACTAGAGTATCATGTTATCAACTAGTTTAACTCATGACTGTATGTTATTTATAGGGAGTTTTGAAATTAACTCAATAGGGATATATTGAAATTAAATCAAGAGAATGACTGGGATGTTAAATAGTTCATATCTGGTATTTTTTATAAATTTCCAGAGCCAAGTTGTTACTGTGGGATTTCAACTCGAGGCATAATCCCCATTCTTGAAGTAAACTCGGTCCACAAGCATAATATAGAAGCCTGAACTCTATGAAAATCGGGTTGGGTTGGCTTGAGCCGCTCCGCCCTGGCCACCCAAACTTGTATGACTATTTGGGACTGGTCAAAAGTTTCTATAAACTACTTGTACCTATGATGAAGAGTCAGAAAGGGAAATGGGTAAAATACTAATGTTAAAACCAAATAGCATGGGAGAGAAAGGGAAATGGGGTAAAATACTAATGTTAAAACCAGATAGCATGAGAGAGAGAGAGAGATCTCACAAAGCCGAGCCCTGCAGTCTTATATATTGGTCCAACCATGGTGAATTGATCGCAATATCTTGAGAGGAAAAGCTTGAGATAAGGGATCTCATCAAAGTATGCAGAGATCTCTCCATTGTTAAGGGCCTCCGCATATTCATCGAGTGTGTTATAGTACCTAAGCTTAGTTGGATCAAAATTCGAGCGTTGTAGAAGCCCAGCAACAAAGGATCTTGGCTGACATCCAACGTAGTTTCCATTTTTTACCAATGTATCAATGTCTTTAACAGTGGGTTGAAGTTGCTGAACTGTGAGTATAGATGTTAAGCTCGCTGTATAGCTTGAGTTGAGAATCAAGGCCACAAAAAGCCATATGATAACCACAAATCGGCCCAAGTTGCTAACCACTGTCTCCTCTGCAAAACCCAAGTACATTTTCTATTGAGTTTGAATTATATTGGGTCTAGAGAAAAAATGAACCTATATAAATAAGAAATTGAAGCCTTTGAAATTGTATACAATATTAGGTTACCACTGGATTTCAAGGGAATTGATCATGAGCGACTTTTTTTGATTTTGTTGTTCACAGATATGTTTATCATATGATGGGTAGATATATCAAAATGGTATTTTCAGTTTCCACATGTTTTAAGTTTGAATTAGTAAAATAGAGTGGGTGAGAATAGCTGTCTCCGATGTAATTTAATGCAATTGGTCTCAACTGGTGTTATCGTGATAGTGTAGCCATCGAACCGGCTAGTCTAATCCAATCAAAACTAGTATAACTATCGATCAAATTGGTTGAACAAAAAAGAATAAAAATTTAATGTAAAATTCGAAAATATATTTTTCATAAGGTTGCACAATCTTGTTTAGTTGATCAAACAAATCAAAACCAGCTAACCTAACTAGCTAAAACTAATCAAGCCTTAGTTTTGCCAATTTTCAATCGGAAACTACTTTCCTGCCGAAGGCTCTAGTTCGTTCGACTCTTGTATCTGCTGGTTTCATCCGATTTTAAAATAAAAAGGTCTAAATATCCCCATCAAAAAGAAAAATCCTTTTGTTTATCTGAAACTTGTAAAAGGTAGTCCAATTATAACTTACTATGAGAAAAGACCATCGTGGAGAAGGCAAACCAAAAGACAACACCTATCTGACCCCACTTGCTGCCTCTAAAGTCGTCGTTTCTCCTGTGTTCTAAGACCCAAACCACAAAACCAGTCAGCACAACGAAGAAGCCACTCGTTGCCCACAATCTCCATGTTAAAGGCTTTAAAAACACCCAAGCATTGTTCCTCAGATCGTTCTTCTTCACTGGAACCACCATTGCTACTCCTGAATCAGTGTAAGGTAAAGTGAAGTCCACGTAGTTTGTTCTGTTAGCTCGAATTGTTACGTCCCCCACCACTGCATCAAAATTCTTCACTCTTACTCGAGTTAGCGATACACGGTTACGTATGATATGTAATTGTATCATGTGTGTGAATTCAATTGTTTTTTCAAGGGATTGTATACCATGAAACAAGTAACCTAGGTGTGCAAAGGTTACAGACCCTCATCGTTTTCGATATAAATTTGATTGCTTTTAAGAAAAATTTTCCCTCAACACGTAACTGACAAATGGTTGAACCTCTATTACATAAATACCTCGGGTTGTTCGATGTTGGGAACGATGGAAATATCAGATGATAAAAATAACTGAGTTCTCCGGGATTGTAGCACAAAATTGTCAAATTAGGAAAACAAGTTAGTTTTCTATTGTTATCCCACATCAACTAGGGGTATTCTGATCCATTTCCTTGACTTTGCACAAATAATGGTATTTTTATAATTTAAATAGAGATACTTAGTTAAATTACCCAAATACCCTTTATTTTTAAGGATTCCCAACCTTGAACTGCAGCAATTTTCAAAATTTTTATAAAATGTTTTTGAGGAGCTACATGTGATATAAAACTTTGAAAAATAAAATGACTTCTTTTGAGCTCTTCAATGATTTTGTAAGATCCATTCATGGCATTTTCCCTAAATAGTAAAAGAAACGATCATATAAGAGGCTCCCTCCTAAGCCGTCTGATTAGGATTTGACAGGTGAGTTAATGCTTTGCAAAAATAAGAGATCCGATGGGTGAGTTAATACATTTAACAAAAAAGAATGGATATGATGGGTGAGGGAGGGAGTTGGTGTTCTGTGAGGAGGTTTGATGGTAGAGTCCTGTCCTTTTTGTAGCCCTCATCCTCACCCATCAAATCTCCAATCCAATGGCTTGAAAGGTTTCACAAAACCGCATAAAAGGACTTTCAATTTTGAATTTAGATATTTATTGCACCGTTCTGCTAGAAAATCGCAAAAAAAAAAGGAAAAGAGAGAGGCTGCTCACCTTGAGATAGACCTGGTAAACCAGATCATTGTATGTGCCAGCGCTTGATCCATCAGCTTTCTGAAAGGGCACGAATTCATACGGGAAAGCATACGGCAGCTCGTCGATCACAGCCTCGAACACATCCCGACAGAAGCCCTGAACCTCAGTCATATTTTTCTTGGGGTTCCATGTATTTTTTATGAATTCCTGAAAAGGTCCATTGACAGGAATGCCAATCCTCAGCTTCTTTCTGTTAGGTGCCACCACCCAGCCCCTTGGCACTGCCAGAGTCCTCCCTGGCCAAATTACCGGCCTGAGATCAGACTGTGTCGCTGTGTATTTTTCCTTTCCAGAGTTTTTTCTTCTTGAAAGGCCAGTTTCTTGTGACCAATACCCTATATCTATGACTTCCTTTCCGGCAATGTTCACTATTTGGAAGTCCGACGCTTGGAGCTCACCTTTTACGAAATGGATATCGCCGCTGACACCAAGGAATTTGGTATCCATGATTGCCTTTAAGAGGCTGGGGCCTGCCTTAGAACTGTTTGGCATTGTGAAATCCGATGACTTTACAGTGGTTTTAGTGGGAAGAGGTCTCCGAAATTGGCCACATTTTTCGACCGCAAGTGCAAGACCCCATGCTGCATCATATGCTCTCAATGCGTAAATGTTCATGTCCACCGTTTGTGTCTCATTTGGGTACTCCATTTTAAACTGTGATCTCCATCTACGTGATAGATCGGATAACGCTTCGGACTCTGGTATATGTGCCTTCACCCCTATCAGCCCTTCCATTGAGGCTATAACTGTGGAATTCATGGAGTTTAAGAGAACCGCCAGCCCGTCTGTTATGATCCAGGCATAATCTTTGCTCATCATGTTGAGTTGCCTGGCATTTTGAAATAGTCGAGAGGCCATGGAAGAGGTCATGTGGACTACGAAAACACGAGTTTGCGTTTCCATCAATGCATGTAGCTCAGTTCGGATTAATTCATCAGAAGCTGAGGTAGGAAGAGCAGTTCTATGTTCAATTCGAGAGCCAATTTCTTGGAGAGCATCGGTTAAGTATGGAATGAAGCTGGCTCCATATTCGGTATCTTCGTATATGGCAACGGCTTGTCTCCAATTGTAGGCTTGGAAGAGAGAGGCAAGGGGTTTGGCTTGAGTTGAGTCGTTGAGAGTGGCTCTAATGAAATAAGGGGTTTGCGTTGATGGGAGTAGAGGTGAGGTTGCAGAAAAAGAGACGATGGGTACCTTTGTTTTGGACCCCATATTTGCTAAGAATTCAGCTTCTGTTGATAATTGTGGCCCAATGATGGCCTGAACATTCATGTTTTGTATCAGCTCCAAAGCTGCAGTATGAAGATCCAAAACTTCAGCATGCGCAGAGAGAGAGAGAGAGAGAGAGGCTCAAATTGCCTGGTGTGTGTGAGAAAAATCAACCGGCTCAAAGTAACGGGCCGGTTCAACAGGCCCAACTGGGCACGTCCTGGCAGTTAAAAAAATAAAAAAGTTGATTTAAATAAAATTTTAGATAAAATTCAAAATGCTCTCCTTATAATGGGAAATTACAAAGAAAATCGGTCTTTCCCCTTTTTTTTTTTTGGTTTTCGAAAATTTCCCTTCGATCAATCTGAATTTTGATTTTGATTTTTAGTTTTTTTTATTTTTTATTTTTTGGTTTTTTCATTAGCATGCCCCAAATTTTAAAGCACCGCCTTAGTAGCGAATTTTTTTTAAAAATAATAATCAAAATTCAGGTTGCTGAGGGATAATTTTGAAAAAAAAAAAGAAAAAAAGGTGGGTTGACCAACCTTGTTTATAATTTCCTTACCTAAAATTTTATGATTTGTACGAAGATCACTCAAACAAAGAAAAAATATTGATTTACATACAAACCCTAAATGTTTTTTTCTACAACACGAAATGTGCCTAGGCAAAAATTACATAGAAAGTCAGTCAAACCATTTTTTTATATTTTTTCAAAATTGCCACTCTGATGATGGAATCTTAGATCTGAGTTTTAATTTTTTAATTTTTAAGTTTTTTTGTTCATAAGCAGTGCCCCACGCTTTAGGGCAGTGCCCTACTAACAGAAAAACTTTAGGAAAAAAAACTCAAATTATGTCCGAGACATCCTCATACCGAGGGAAAGTTTTAGAAAAATAAAAAAAAGCAGGTTGACCAATCAATTTTGTAATTTCCATTTATAAATGGAGCATTTCGTATTTTAGAAAATTTTTTAGGATTTGTACG